CTGCCTATTCTGCGTTTGGAAATCAGGAAGAAACCTGTACAGTTTATCAGCGGCCCCAACTAGTAGTAGCGGACTTTAACCTTTGGTAAAAAACTGAAATGTGAACAACACAGGCCTTACACTTTCACGAGTGCCTCTGGTCTTGAAAGCAAGACACTTTACGATAGATTGTCTGGGTTATACAGGACCATCAAGAATGTTTTGCATGCAGGACATTTATGGTTAATTAAAATTGAACACCATTAAAAAACAATGATTTCTTTTTGTTTGCTTTATTTTCTAAATAAAACTGGTCTGTGATGGTATTTCTCTTGATAGATTAAGAAAGCCAGATATGGTACAGTAATATTAACACAGCTAACATCACTTGAAATTTGCAGATGGCTCAGTTTTTTCTCTAATTCTGGCTTTATGGTCATAACAAATGTCATGAATATGGTCAAGTTTGATTAATCCCTAAAATCCGCACAATCATTTATATTTGCATACTTTCATCAGTAACTTAAGAGAGAGCCAGTGCTGCTAAGGGGTTCAGCTCACACAGGTACCACCCTTTGCAGGCAAACTTGCTAGCCGAAAGTAAATGGCAGAACAACACAAACCGATCGCTGGGAATTCATGTCTGAATGTGAGGTATATTTGTTGAGCTGCTGAGCTGTTGATACTTGTTACTTTACTTTACTTTACGTTACGTTACTTACTACTAAATTTCCTGTGTTCCTACAGTATTTTATTACATAAGTTAAGTGCAAATATTCATAATGCCTGTGTAATGACAATATATAATCAGATACCACTCTAGATTCATGTTTTTTAGATTTAACCTTAAGTTTCCAAACCAACTTCTCTATTTTAATAATTTTTTTCTAGGAGATATTTAGTATATTAATAATATGAATTTTTATCAATTTGTATAATTACCGGGGCATTGTATTTAAAACAACATTTAAAAACAGAAAAAAAAGAGGAACAATTGAAAGTTGCAATAGTCCAGCCCAGCTTTGAGAATGAAAGGCATTTTAAGTCTTTAAGTCTTTCCTGCATGACTTCCTTTATATCATAAACACCTAATTTTATTAGTTCCTTGATGTGACTACTTAATCTACCTGAGTCTAATATACCTAACTCGTCCTGTATCTTTGTAGTTCTGAAATTAAGGAAAAATACATTTTCTTCTCTAAAGATTCTTCTCATTTATTTGTTTTAATTTTACAGAACTCCATGATGCTTTACTTGGAGAAGAGGCTGTCTAAATCTGGGCTCACTCCTTTCAGTATTTCAATCTTTTATCACATTGCTGTCCTACTTCTCCTAACACACTGCTGTGGAGGTAACTCACACACAAGCACAACAGAAACAACATGGTGAGAGTTGAGTGTGGCAAGATACTGAAACTGGTACATGCTTCTTGTATGGTCTTACTAAGGAAGGTTGATCTGCATCAGATTGTCTGGTCTCATAACCTGATTGGTAACATCAATAAGGTAAAGCACATGTGAATGTAGACAGCTAGCAGACATAAAATGCCCCTCATGAAGGTGAATATTCAACATTACAGATGTGAAAATGTTTGGACTGGAGTCTGACTGCAGGATGTTTCTTTCCAGGTCAGTTTCAGGTAGTTGGTCCATTACAGCCAGTAATTGTAACACTTGGTGAAGACGTTATTTTGCCGTGCTATCTGAAGCCACCTGGAGATGCTGCTGGTATGACGTTTGAGTGGGCGAGACCTGACCTGAACCCCAGATTTGTTCATGTGTGGCATGAACGTCAAGACCTTCACGTTAACCAGCATCCGTCCTACAAAGGAAGAACATCAGTGTCCATCAACGGACTGAAACTGGGAGACGTTTCACTGGCACTCTCTAAAGTCAAAATCTCTGATAATGGAATATACAGATGTTACTTTCCAGATGTGGATAAAGCCTCTACTGTTCATCTTATTATTGGTGAGCATGCATATTTCCTTTTAATTACTGTGCCCATTACTTACAGTGAATTGTCTTATTGGCCATAACTACTGTAAATTTCATATTCTTACAATTAAAGCTGCTTACACTCGTCAGTAAAAAGTCCAGTGGTTTTGGTTGTTGGATATTGTTTGACTCAAGACAGTGCCACAGTATTACCAACTTCAACAGGGACCAAAGAGGATATAATAAAAATCCATAAAAAAGGAATTCACTCATTAAACTACTGTTGTTAGCTGTAGTTACTTATGTCTTACTCTGCTCATCAGGTACTGCTTCCTTGCCGGCCATCAGTTTAGCAGGGCTGGACAAATCCTCCGGTGGATTCTCTAAGAGAGAAGGAGCAGCTTATGGCAGAGAGTAAGAAAGCGAAGGACACTGAGGAGAAAATGGAAAAAGAATTAAAGAGGAAAGAGGAACAACATAAAGACATGATGGCTACACTGATGACACAGAAGAAGGAACTGGAGAAACAGAGAGATCAACTGAGGCAGAAAAAGGTGAAGGTAGAGGAACAGGTGGAGGAAAACGAGAAGAAACTTCAGTTAGTGGAGAAAGATATAACAGAGAAGGATGAAAATAAAATACTCACCAATGCACCAGCATACCGAAATCTGAAAGAATTAACTATTAAGTACAAATGGGACCTGAATGGCTCACTGCAGATATTTGAGGTACTGGTACTAAACACAGAGAAACTATTAGGGACGACAGAGAGTGTGATTGTTAGAACAATAGAAAATAAGAAGGAAGCAGAGAACCACATGGATGAACACTAATGTGAAGTTGAAGGAGGTAGTATCACACTGAATTCTCAGGTTTAAGATGTATATGTATATAAACAAGTACAAACACAAAGCAACAAGAAAGAGATAAAATCATAGCACTGTAACTAAGAACTATTCTATTGTTTAGTAAAAGCAGACACCTGCTTTCAGTTTCTTATTTTGAATTTCTTACCTATAAACAATGCTTTTTCTAACAGGGTCTGTTCTGAAATTACTGTACCATAATATAGCAATGGAATTTCCCATAATCCCTCATTGTATCACAGCAGTACAAATTAACAGTGCCCTCTGGAGTTTTCCTGCAAACAAACAACATTCAGTGTTACACTTTTGTGCTTTAACAAACATGTTGAACTTTATTATATATTTACTTTATCAATGTTTACTAGCATATGATGCTATTCTTCCTTGCTTCAGATAAATATGAGAACTAAAATGAAGAAACATATTGTGGTAGTACACATAGTAAAGCATAAGCGCACAATTTGGAATACAAATGCTTTTCACTTGGCGAACTGCAGTTCCCTGTTTTGCATATAATAATATAACCTTTACAAGTAACATACTGCATCTTGTAAATATATAAAATCTTAGATATAAATGTATGAAACTAATAAAATGCAAATATTAATAACGATGAATATTGGAACAGAAACAGACACGCGTTCAGCACTACTTTTTCTACATCAGTCCTTCCAGCTGTGTTTTTCCCCTCTTCCCTTCACTTTTCATTATAGAAAAGGGCACAGACAGCATGTACCAGAGCAGAGTACCAAAAGCAATACCTTATTGGTCATACATACTTTATTTCTCTGATTTTATATTTTGCCTTATTGCTTCTTGGAATGTTCCAGCCATGTAAGGCCCTGTGTAACTTTGTATTGAGAACTGCTATATAAATATTATTATTATTAAAACATATCTTATAATATAAATTAAGGTCAATGCTATCAATGTTGAAGGAAGCTGCCTATGAAGGCACTCATACTATGTCAACCCCTGTATAATATACTGCATAAGGCATGCCAATAATTTCACACAACATTAAAACATTAGAGGGCAGCACTGATGCTGTTGTCGCTGCTCGCTGTCCCCTGTTGTTGCTGCTGT